CTCGGGAGGCTGATGGATGATATTTGCGATGCGCTGGCAGTTGTCACAAGTTTTTACAAACTGCTTTGCGTCCCGCTCAACAGTGGGCCAATAGTACCCTTGTCAAACTACTTTTGCCGACAACGACCTGGCGCTAGAGTGGTTTCCAAACACTCCTTCATGGACTTCCCTAAGGATGTAAAGGCCTTTTCAGGAGTTACACACTTAAGAAGGGGCAGGGAGAAGCCACGTCGGTACAACGCTCCATCTCGGAGTATGAACCGAGCTGCTTTTCGTGCCATCTTCTTTTGCTCCTTCAGTTCTTGCGGCGGATTTTTTTGGATGAACTCTACGATTGGATCCATCCATGAGGGTGATGGAGTGTCAACCTCCATCACGTCTGGGTCCAGGATTGAAGGATTATCCAAGATCTCGACTGGGACCGACCTGGCCAGGTCGGTCTCATATGCTGATGCCAATTTGGCTAAGGCATCAACATTGGAATTTTCTGACCGTGGCACTTGACTCACCTCGTAAGTCTCGAACTGGGGGAGGTGCGATTTGACTTTGCTCAGTATTTTTCCATTCGGGGGTCTTTTGTTTGACACTCCTCCTTAATCTGATTTACGACCAACTGGGATTCACTGAAGACCTTGATGTGGATGACCCCCAGTCCCTTAGCAACGCGTAGGCCTGCCAGAAGTGCTTCGTACTCAGCCTCATTATTTGAAGTCCGAAAGTTGAACTGCAGAGCATACTCAAATCGCTCGCCACATGGTGCGAGCAAGAGGATTCCTGCCCCGCACCTCCTCTCATTGGAAGATCCATCAACGTAGATCGTCCACGGGAGGTCGGACTCGATCAACTGAGATGGTGGGGTAAGCTCCGGGATGAAGTCTGCCAATGCTTGCCCTTTTAACGCAGTTCGGGGTTCGAATTGGATGTCGTACTCACTCAACTTCATTGCCCACTTCATCAGGCGTCCTGATGTCTCCGGCTTATGAAAGATGTTCTTCAAGGGCAAGTTGGTGAGTACTACAACGGTATGAGCCTGGAAGTACGGCCTAAGTTTCCGTGCCGTAGTGATTAAGGCGAGGGCCAGCTTTTCCATTTGGGGATACCTGGTCTCGGCCTCGGTCATGGCTTTACTTGTATAATAAATGGGACTTTGGCGTACTCCCTCCTGCTTGATTAGGGCCGAGCAAACGGCGCTGTCGGACACTGCCAGGTACAAGTGGAGCTTGTCTCCTGACAATGGCTTGGCAAGTAGAGGTGCTGAAGAGAGATAGTTTTTCAATTGTTCCAATGCTTGCTCGCACTCTGTCGTCCATTCAAACGGTCCCTTCTTTCTTAGGACTTTGAAGAAAGGCAGACACTTATCCGTTGATCTCGAGACAAATCTCTTCAGAGCTGCAACCCTTCTATTGAGACACTGAAGCTGTTTTAATGTTTTGGGCGCTTCCATCTCGAGCACGACCTTTATCTTCTCTGGGTTGGCTTCGATCCCTCAGTTGTTTACCATAAAACCAAGGAACTTCCCCGAGGAGACTCCAAAGGCGCACTTTGTTGGGTTGAGCTTCATTTGATACTTCCTCAGAACTCCAAAGGCTTCGGCCAGATCGGAAAGATGCGACTTTGACTACTTGCTTTTGACAAGCATGTCGTCCACATACACTTCCATATTCCGGCCGATCTGCTTGACGAATGACTGAGGTTATGCTGAACGCACACACTAAGCGTGGTAACAATTCTATAGATGCAAGCGCACACCTGTCAGAGTAATATAAAATGGATGAAGTATCCAAGTATCGATCCTCGACGACTTCTAGATAATTTCCAAACTCTAAAAGTTTTAATGAATAGTGAACGTTGAAATGAGTGATTCTTGTAAATGGGAAGTGGTCACAAATAATGGTTTTGGATTTGGGATTTGGTCTTATAATGGTAAAACCTAGCCCGAATTACTTCAAGTTAGCCAACAAAGAATCAAGGATACGCTAAGGACGATATGCATTTTACTTTAGAAATCAACGACTATGCTTTTCACTTGACTTATGTCTAAGCAAGTTCAAAGTCCTAAGACATTCCCTAATATGTCTATTATGAGAGATATCTTACTTTTAGGATGGAAATAGTCGCAACCTCGGGTTAAGGTCCTATGTCTAGGCTACTTAACCGGAACCCTTATGTCTAAGGCGCTCCTCTCCTCGGTTTAACCACTCAACAATGCAAATAAGCAACCTTTTYAGTATTGACTTGTTAAGACTTATAGTGGCCTTCTCTAAATCCTAACTTTTTGGGAAAACATGTTGAGTAATGAGTGGAAAGCAAAAACACTACTTCTTAGCAACCCTTTTTAGGAATAAAAGGCTAACTATCCATAACCGGGCTAGAGACGGGAATTTAGAAAGACATATTGAAGAAAATACAGCAAGTAAAATGGTTGAAATTGAAATGCATGTGTGAAAAACAAAAGTGAACTAACGGAGAGTTTTGCTCGGGCTTGAGAGCTTCGCCCTTCTCTTTCAAGCAAGGGGGAGTGTCACGTGCTCTTTCCTCCAAAAACACAATTCTCTTAACTAAAAATAAAGTAAAGGCAAAGTAAAGATAAGCTAAGTGCTAGATTTTTATAAATTTGAATAGGTAGAAAATAACTAAGTAACAACGGAAACAAAACAAAGCTCAATAAAGGAATGTAAAGTGCTCGGGATTTAAAAACTAAAAGCAACTAATGAAAGCAACTCAAAAGTACTTAGAAAGCAACAAAGAAACACAAAGAATGATCAAGATAAGGAAGCAAGGCTTGATGAATTTGGTGGAGAAGCTGCTGGAATTTATAGTTGTGCAGAATTGGTTAGGTAGGTCCTAAAACGCTGGTGGATCACCCATTTCCAACTCCTTTGACTGACCAAATCATGCTCAAACTAATAGTGGAACACTTCTTCTACACGTATTCATCGGTTGGAACCACCAAAACGCATTGGAAGACGCGTTTCATTAAGGGCAAAGTTGGAAGAAAACCAGGTTTTCTGCAGCCTACCAGGCGCCTGGCGCCTCCAATGAGGGTTTCTCCGTCTTTTTGCTTCTTTTGATTAATTTGCACTCCCAAATGGTCCTAAAATGTCATAAATACAATATAAGCCAACCACAAAACATCATATATGAATTTTGCATGAATTGGAACTCAAACGACCGAGAAAAAGTCCGAAACAAAATTAAAACATAGTAAAAACAGTATCTAAAACCTTCTTTTTACGCATGTAAACAAGCGTAATCAGCGAACATTTTGTTCACCATCCTTTGGTAGGTCGCTCCTGCGTTCTTTAGGCCGAAGGGCATAACCTTGTAGCAGTACAGACCTTGATCTGTTATAAACGCGGTATGATCTTGATCTGGGACATGCATTTTAATTTGGTTGTATCCGGAGTAGGAATCCATAAAGGTGAGCAGCTCGTGCCCGGCTGTTGCATCCACAAGCTGGTCAATCCTCGGCAGTGGGAAGCAATCTTTTGGGCATGCCTTGTTTAAATTTGTAAAGTCTACACACATTCTCCACTTCCCGTTGGATTTTTTAACTAATACAACATTAGAGAGCCACTCAGGATACAAAATTTCTCTTATATATTCAGCTTTTAAAAGTTTGTTTACTTCCTCAACAATTACATCATTCCTCTCCCTATTTACAGGTCTCCTTTTTTTGCTTTACAGGTCGGAATGATGGGTCTATGTTGAGGCGATGCACCATAATCTTCGGGTCGATACCTGGCATGTCCTCATGGGACCACGCGAAAACATCCGAGTTGGACTTGAGGAAGTTGATCAGTTCCTCCCTATCAGTGGCCCCCAGCTTGGCTCCTATGCTTACTTGTCTTTCAGGACTAAGCAAAGGAACAAGCTCGAGCTCCTCAGTCAGCGCGGAGAACTCCTTTTTACCTACTTTCGGTAGGTCGGCGTCGGATTTCAGCGACTCGTCCCAGTTGGCTTGTCCTTGTAGGGCGCAAACTGATGACCCTTTAAGTGCGGAGGCATAGCACTCCCTTGAAGTTTTCTGCTCTCCTCGGACCATGCCCACTCCATTAAGAGTCGAGTA